GTCTGAGCAGACTATTGGGGCCAAAAGTCTGTATTCGGGTTCAATAAAATAGTGACAATTCGATCTTTGAGAAGCATCACAATTACTAATGCTTGCCATAAAATAAGTTATAAATGCTATATCGGATCATTGAAGTTAAAAAGGAATTGTGCTCATCAATATATTCAAAATATCAGTCAAAAGTTTATCATCAATTCTCATGTGGATAGAATTTTTAAGTATAAATCCTTCATTCATCTTTCAATGCGATTAGTTGATGATTTTATCGTAAAATCTTAGTACATTTCTCTCGGTCGTGAGTCTGCCATCTAAAATGTTAGGACAAAAATGTCCTTTAGGCCAGTTGCTTTCTTCTTTCGGATATTTTTGACGTCACTCGCACGAGTGACCTACCAATCTGATAGATAAGATTTAACTTTATTTTAATGCTAGGATGAGCGCTGAGACTAGCATCGTTGTTTCTATAACAAAGCATTAGAAAACTAGTTAATGGACATGGACATAAATTAAGATCGATTAACGTGAAAACTGTCAAACTATTACTCTATACACACGAAGTTTCAAACAAATATTATGGACAAATGAGGCTCAAATCAAAATTAGGTAGGAATTTGATGAAAAAGCTGCTTATAAAAATTCTTATTTTTAATGAAACGTTTCAGAGTCCAGCTCCATCTTCAATTAAAAAGTCAATCAAGTGTAATATACTTGATTCATTAGCAATGTATAATTGAGTTGCGAATCAATATAACCCTTTATCATTAATTATATCATTGATAACAATCGGTATTTATACCAATATACCTCTGCTTTTTGCCGAGTAAAGCGTTTAGTATGTAACGAGAAAGCGATAAAAAAAGTCCCAGATTAGTTTCTTCACTAATTTCTCCTTTCATTAGCTAATTTACTCAATTATCTCTTTATTTAAGTTAATCATAATAATTTAATCGGTAAAGTTGCTCACATCTAAATTATTTCATCTTTAATTAAATTAAAATTGAAATTAAGAATAATTTAAATATTTAATTAATTATATAATAGATAATTTAAATAACCAAATTGTCAAAATTCTTATACTCTAAATAGTATTTAAAGTGTTTTACTGAGCAAGAGATGAACCATAAACAGTTCAAGTTTACAAAATTATTAGTGTAAATTATAAAACTTATACCATTCATATCCCATGAACGGATGAACAGTTAAACATATCATTCATTTTGTAATGAAGTATAATTTATTGCAATGCAATTTGGACAAATTTTTTAATACAATTTTTTGGGCACTAAAATTCTAACAGAGTTATTCAACAATATTTTATAACAAACTGTACCGCTCTAGATAAACCGGAACTTCCATCCGCACGCGATGGATCTGTATCTTTGACCTTGCTAGCTCCGTCATGAAATTAAACTCCGCTCCATCTGATGATATTCGAGGAGAATAAAACTGTAAATTTCATATTCTAAATCATGAGTGCATTTTTCACTACACTTACCCTACTTGAGTATCCAATAGTGAATAAGTTCTTACCAAAGATACCCATAGCTTTATTGAAATTTTTATGCCAGTACTTTTGAAAAATTCATCTCTCCGTGATAAACTAAGCTGAAGCTGAGAAGAATGTTAGAACCTCGGGTTAGAACGTGATGTTCGCATTGGTTATTACATTGCTTGGGAAGGTGTAACTTACGGGAATTTCTCTGCGCAAAGCCGGTGGACCGTAAAGTTTGCTGGGAAAAATCTCAATCTTTTCATTTAGCGCAGATGGTCATGATGAATATGTGACCTTGCCAGCCGCCGCATCGTTTTGCTGTAACAGTTGCCCTCTGTTTATTATCTGAAGTTATTAACTAGATTACTGGCTAGGCGTTTGATCTCTTTTTAGGAATACGCTAAATCTGGCTTTAAATTAGCTAAACTGGCGACCGTAGGAGGAACACCGCTGACTTCAACCGCGTGGCGGTCCGCTCAGGCACAACATATTAGCATGAACCATATGACAAAAAAAATCGTAATATTTGTAAAACTTGTTTATTAACTTTTTATCATCTGGAGTAGTTAGAAAGAAATATTCTCCCTCTTACTAGAAATAATTTGAGTATAAATTTGTTTAGTAGATAATTTACATCTCTCATTGCGATCTAATTTCTTGATTTGAAAAATTCGATTTTCCTAAGTTTAGATAATAAAAACCGTCAAAGGATGCAATGTATGCATTAGAACTCCGCGCGGTCCGCGAAAAACACGGCTCGTATTTACCAAATTTGCGATGAGACAGGCCTGCAGCGAGACCATCACCTGCGTTATAGAACAACTTCTTCCTAGTTGTACCAATTTACGAACATAGAGCCATATTTTCAAAGAAACAAGGCAGGAAATGCTTTCTTAAACACGCTTTGCGTTGTGACAAGTATTTCTCACGTTCTTGCATTTTAGCTCAGTATCCTAATTCAAGCTGTAGTCATTTTTTTTTATGTATCGAGAGAAAATTGCATAAATTGATGGGTTTCTTCGCTAAAAAGTTATGTATGTTTAGGAGGTCAACTTGCCTAGAGAAAAGTAAGCAGTAAAATCTAACTTGAGGTATCTAAAAGTATAATAATTATCTTTTAAATCAATCAGTGGATAAAAACCTAGTCACCAGAGCAGACTAGCAGGGCCGAAAGCTGGTTTCCGGGTCTGAAGATAGACATGTAGTTCCTCGTATAATATCCTAACTCTTATAGTTCGCAATGAATTTTTTTCCAAACATTGTAGCCAGCTATCATGTCTTGAAGACATGAAATTCAGCAAATGATCAGAATATGTAATGCATTTTTTACGCATTGTAATGTTGATTCAATTTCACATACATTGAATCAGTAACCCGAATGTAAAACAAGTAGTTTTTGTTTTTCCATTAACAACCCAGTAAATGATGCGCGGTGAAGATTCATTCTTGATTAAATCTTGAATGTCTTCTGGGTATTCCAATAAGTGTATTTCTATCTTTCGTAATTTTGGAAGTCGCTTTGAACCTTTAGGTGATGGAACTCTGTAGCAATTGGTTATTAGTGGCAAGCACGCTACGTCAACTTACTGTATGATAGTTGCATTAGAAAGCTAGTCTTTAGATTAATAAAAGTTTGTCGATCTCAGTGAACACAATCATAGTGACCTAACAAACATCACTGAAGAATGATTGTTTGAATTGAAAATTCACAAGAAATTTATGGCAACGAATCTGTCAGTGTAAATTGATTATGTTTTCAGTTCAATGTTACGGTTCTCAATTTATGTCAATGTCCATAACTCAAAAAATTCATTAATACATGTATAATCAGTCGCTATGACTGAATTTGCAAGAAAAAGAGTAGAAATAAATGTAATTAATTATTTTCTTTTCTAACTTTGCCCTTCATTAATCAATTTAAGTTTTCATCTCTCGTGCAAAGTGAATCGTAATTATGAATAAGGCCTAAGTGAATTGTTAATGCTGATGGAGTGTTCAATACCGGTGGAGTCTCTGACAAGTGTTCAATTAAAATATTGTGACTTGACATTATCTCTGTACCTAACGTCTTCGTCAACGAGCAATTGAAACATCGTTTGACGATAATATTCGTTTGAAACGACCTTCATGCGAAACTAGATTGCTGAGGCTTGTTTCGGGCGAAAAAACGATTAATGTCATTGAAAGTCGTGAAGGCTACAGCTCAATATTTCTCTCTAGGTACAGCCGAACGTGAGGTCACTCGTAGGAGTGAAGTACAAAATAAGAAACAGGAAGTGGCATGAATAGTATATGTATTTGATGGACATATTTCGTCCAATGCTGGAGAAGAGAAATCACGCACGTACATAGTTTAAATAATTTTTCATAATAGGTATATAATAAATACAGTATACATTCAGGAAACTGATAAACAGTTTAAAATACGATTCATCCCATACGTAATTTTTTACTCGTTCCTGAGAAAAATGTGTTTTCACCTAAAAAATTGTGAACAGAATATTATTTTTTACTGCGAAAGTAGCGGAAATATTTTCTATGTTTTTCCACTCTCCTAATGAATACAATATAAATTTTTCTTACTACTATTTTCCGGGTAGCTCTACTTTCAAAATATATTTCGTAATTTTACAATATAATGGAATATCAATATGCCAGAAAACCGATTGTTTTGCACAGTTAGCACTCCCGCATGTTTTATCTTCTACCGAAGATACCCATCATAACGATAATGTTTTCTACGGAAGTCACATAAAAAAACAGCTAATTAACAGTAACATAAGTAAAACCCCCCCCAAAATTGTATCCAAACATATCATAATTGAGATAATTCGTTCTCATCTGAAAGTCGAGCTTTTATAACAAATTACCATTCAGCTCATTCTTGGATAGCTTGCCTTCGTGTATGTCTGAGCAGACCAGCGGGGCTCTAAGCATGTATTCGGGTTCAATACAATAGCAGTAATTCAGTGTTTGGGAAATATCACAATTACTGAAGTTTGCCATACAATTTATTCAAAAAGCTATATAAGAACATTGAAGCTGAAAATGAATTGTGTTCATCAGTTTTTTCAAACTGTCGATAATGAATAATTATCCGTTATTCTCATGTCAGTAAAATTCTTGAGTGTATATCCATAATTCATCTCTAAATGCGATTAATTGACGCTTTTATAATAAAATCTTAGTATATTTTTCGCGGTCGTGAGTCTGCCTCCCAATTGTTCTTCTTTCTTCTTTTGGATATTTTTGACGTCACTCGCGTGAGTGACCTACTAATCTGATAGAAAAGATTTAGCTGGGTTTTAATGCCAGGATGTGCCCTGAGACTAGCATCGTTGGTTCTATGATAAAGTATTAGTGAGATATCAAATGCCGAAAGACAATGAAGATATTACAAGGTTATCTTGCATTCGCAATGACCTAACCCTGTCAACAAGACCAGAAGTCAGATGCTGCGGCAGCGGTGAGACGCTTACGAACCCAAACGATTAAAGATGAATGAAGATTGAACCAGAAACCTGTTCAGCTTTCTGTCTTCAAGTCATTTATGAATTTTACACTCTGGAAAAACTGTGCAAATTGTAGTTTTTTACTGCCCATTAAGTTTTAAAAAATAATTATAAATTTTCTGTTCTTTAAATTAAATTTATTATTCTACAGACAGCGTCTGTAGTAGCTTGACTGGAAATTCCCTGCTAACGAGAGATAAAAATAAATGCGTAGGCTCGGAAATATTTTTTGCACACTAAATATGTGTATTATGGATACACGTTGCAGTTTCATTGAAGTTAATATATACTAGATTAAATATAGAATATATAGAATGCTCAGTCAGATCATATAATGGTATAAAGACAACAACTTTTCTCTGGAAATAATCGCGAATTGTGCAAATTTTAAATCAAAACATGTAGGCAATACGCTGACAGCAAGTTGATGGAAATTTGGCTAAAAATGCAATGATAAACATTTAGAGGTGAAACGACGGTGCCGGTGGGAAAGATCCCATATATATGCATCAATTTATTTGTTTTTCCCAACTTAGGTGTAAATCGGCAGAGATATTTGCGAATAGATGATTATTTTTCCAAACTAGTTCAGTAAGATTTTCGTAGTAAGTATATTCCCCTATATAAGACGGATTAAAAAGACTTTAAAAAGTAATTTGTCAGAAATTTCAATGAATTGTCAAAAAGAATTGATTTATTAGTGACATTGGAACCTTGTTTTTGATTTTATTTTCTGCTGAAACATGTTGGTCTATAGCGACTTGAGCATTCCTTGCCTTGGACTTTAATGATACACGCCATCGACAACAGATGTAAGTCAATAAGTGATATATAGTAAATAATAAATTATGTTACTGAAGTCGCAACAGTAAATTATGTTACTGAGGTCGCAATAACGAGTTTCGAATGATGGATGATCGCTATGAAAACGTTAAAGTTAAAAGAGAATTATTGACAGAAGCACGTTTATACTTGCGGGCTTGCAAGAGGTTCCTCCGCCGGATGCTTATCAGCAACGTGACGAATTAGACGAAGTTTAGATAGATATGATTTATCGCACAGCGAACAACGAAAAAAGTATATTTTTTATGTTTGGAAAGAACATGTTTCTCTAGCCGTTCTTTGACAACACAAGAATAATTGCACTCGGCGCACTGAAGAGGTCTCTCAGATGAATGAATGTAAAGAATATGCCTTTTCATATTGCTTCTTATGACACAACTGTATTCACACATCAAACACTTGATAGGTTTCTCCACCGAATGTTTATGGAGAACGTGAATCTTCACGTTTGATTTTGAGACACTTGAATATTCACATTCCATGCAGCGATACGGTCTCTCTGCTGAATGCTTACGTATAACGTGTAGATTCAACTGTTGTTCACCGACACATGAATATTCACACTGCGCGCACTCTAATTTCTCCTTTTTGATATGTTCAGGAGAAACGTTAGTTTTCAATTCTTCCGTTCTCGCACAAAAACTTCCTGATCTGCGATTGTCTACCTTTTCTCGCGACTGTTCACCACTGTTACTTGGCTGAATCTGATATTCAGCACTGCTGCATTGCTCACGGCCAGAATGTGTGGTTTGATTCACTGATGAATATGAATGCTCATAGAAGTGGCGCTGCTGCAGGTCAAAAGATTCAGTAATATATTCGGTGCGTGGCTTGGGGCTAGACGATCCAGAAACACCATCTCTCTCACCAGCTTCATCTGGAGCTCCTTCAGATGTTGATAACTCTCCGCTGCCGTGCTGGTAACAGAGACAAAAATACGTTTTTATTAGAAAAAAGTCTACTAAGCATACAACAAAACTACTTCTGTACTACCACTCAATAAGCCTTCCCATACAATTAGTTATTGTTCACAGACTGGACTTTGCTTCGAAACTGCATTTTCCTATTTCGAACAGTTTTAGTCGATGTTCATCACATCAAAGACTGATGTGTTCATGAATTGTTCTTATGATCTAGTTGGAGAAACAAAATTTACTACGTTTATGACATAGATTGGTCCAGGTTTTACGATTGATGCACTTATAAAAAGTTAAAATACTCTAGAAAACTTCCCAATTGTTTAATTATCATTGAGCTTAATTAGCTTGTATATCCACGCTATTTTCACATAAATCTAGCAACTATGAAGTCAATGATAGTATCGTTGAAGGAACGAGCACGGCGCAAATGTTAAATCATCGGAAATACTGCCACTGTCGCAGCAGCAGCTCACAGCAACGAGCTGAGAGTATTACAAGTAACAGCCACCACAGCGTCAATATTATGGCCACGACACGTCTACTTTATGAACAGTACGGCCGTTATTACGAAGTTCGTGATCGATACGGTTATACGTCGTACGATTCTAGGTGATCGCACAACAGATCAGCGGATTAACGCAAAATTCCTCAACACGAAAAGTTAATATAAATATTTAATTCCGATGCAATTGTTTCAAGTTTTAGTTTAGGAAAATTAGAATTGATGAGGTGCTGAAGGCTTTGTATCAAACATCGAATCTAGGTACAAGTCTCTATGTTTTTTTGTAATTGAGTTTTGTTTAATTGAGCTGCATGCGTCTTCATTTATGAAGTTTTAATTACGTGTAAGTAGTGCTTAATTTCGATCCTCATATTCTCTAGCTGACGTTGAATATAAAGGAACGAGTATAATCTATTAAAAAGCTCATGAAAGCAGACAGTAGAGTCAATTTCTAGCCGCGTTAAACATTGTATTTTCGAATTTCCGTAAAATAATTTTCTAATTCCAATTATAAATTTTTGTTCGAACTACCTTCTAGTCAAAGTGGAGCCACGGACGAATCAGCATAATGTAATCCCTTCGGGTCGCCTGCCCAAGACCACCACTGCCCTGGATATAATGGACCATGATGATTCCCGCCTTCCGGAACCATTCAACACATCTGGACTATCATATACAGGCCGTGCGTATAACCAGCCCACGGTCGAACGGCCACTGGTCGAAGGACGATAAATGTTGGAACAGAACTATGCTATCTGAAACCTAACCTCAGATGCGGTGAACGTAAAATTACGTAATTTGACGATGCCCGGAAGGCATATTCGAGCCGCGGTCTGGTGGTGCACAGCAGGTTTTATGCAAGGCCCGAGTAGGACAAAGCCGAGTAGTTCACGGCTGATTGGTGGATGTCAGGATAGATCCAAGGCGTTCGATTCAGCGCTTATTTTTCTGTTCCAAAATTTATCGTCCTTCGACAAGTGGCCGTTCGACCGAGGGCTGGTTCGACCCACGGCCTAGATACGGACGGCTTGAAGTATTGAAGGCTACGTTCCGGAAGGCAGGAATCATGATGGTCCATTACATCCAGGGCAGTGGTGGCCCGTGAAAAGCAACAGAAACGAAGACACTCGAACAAGAGGTCGCTTACACGGGGCGTCGGTCGCCCGCACGAGAGCGACAGAGAAGGGAAATGTAAGGAATCCTACCTACATAATAACTTAACCCTACAACTGAGACCTGCAGTCAGACACCGCGAGCTCAGCGGTGGGGCGCTCAGGAACAATCCCACTTATAGGAGCGCGAAATCCCAGGACTTCTGACGATCGTGTTACTTTTCGAATGATTCCTTCTTGAAATACTTTGCTCACCTCCAGCTCTGGCAGGGCAGCTTCAGCTGTCCCTCGATAGGTGCTCGGTTCATCGCACCACGCCGTCAGAAATGGGGCATCAGATTTGTCTTCCATCAGATTCTGCCTTACTTCGCAATCGTTGAAAGGACGTGATATGATTGATCTGGCATATATGAAATTATATTGATTATTTCAAAGTCAAGTATTTCCCCAAACAGTGCATGGAAAATATAAACTCGTTGCTTAGACTTAGAATAAACTTTAAAAATATCATCGAGCTCGTTTGCATAGTCGTAGTCGAAAAATTTAGATTTATTGCCTGAATTTGCGAAGCCCAAATAAACAAACGACGACCAATGAAGGCTTCAAGATAACAGAAAATAATGTTTTGGTATTATTTTCATTTGTACTTTTCTGAGCCTGAGATATTAATGCAGCTACACCATTCATGCCCACGGCAACTTTTTGTTCAATAGCAGCAGTTTTGCACATCTGGACTATTAAATATTTTTCCGCGCCAAGTAATTTATTTAACTTTTATTCAGGCTTGAGGGTTCGTCTAGTCTGTAGTATTTTTGAATTTTGTAATTCTCACTAAATTTGTTGGATGAATCGAAGTAGCCAAAATTTTGGGCGACCTCAGCGGAATATTGAAGCTGTTCAAATAATAACATGATTCCATATGCGTCGCGTAGCATCCAGCTTCAAATTTAACCCAACCACGCAAAGTGTTCGTGCAAAGCTCGAAACTTCATCTGCTCTGCAGCCACACTTTGCCTGGCAAGCAATTCCACCATTTATTATTTTGGAAGCCGAGGCATGGTCAGTTGCACTAACATAATTATTTTGTTAAGGGGCGTATTTTAGACCACATTGGAAAGTCAAACGCTTCGTAAACAAAGAATGAAATACCAGAAGACTTGTATTATGGACCACATCAATGATTTTTCACGAGCACAGCCCAAGCCTTCTCTGCAGCCGACGATAGTGACGTGGGGATGACGTAATATGCTCCACTCGTGACACCAACGATGGCAAACGCGGCTATGGCTTCAGTACTAATCTTTTTCTACATGTTACTAGACCAATTATTAATTATAATTACTAATCGACATTTAGTTACATCTTTCCACGAATTTTTCACGCGAATTTAAAATGTACTTATGTTTCACGATTTTTCTTCGAATCAAAAAGTTGATCGTCTTAAAGTCTACAGGCACAGATAACTAATTTCGAAATTGTTACATAACAGTGTAAATGAAGTAATCCAACACTTCAACATACAAAACTTCAACAAGAACAAATTGCATAGCTCTTCCGGTGTGCCTGGTCATCTGATTCTTCATCGTCGTTGCCGAGTTGATTTACTTAATAAATTCCGCTCGGTGTCTGATCGTTAATGTATTGCTAGCTGCTTTTTGGTCTAGGTTTCATATGTTGAATGCGAAATTAGTTTTTTATCAATTCATTGAGATAATGTCATAATTTCACATAATTATTTTTCGAATTTAGGTAATGATCTCGCGCGTAAAACTAACATGACCAGAAATATTCAATCACACAAATAATCTTTTCCGGGGAAGTTGACGCATGTTCTAGTATATCAAGTTTTATGTTATTTGGGGGGTGGTGACTTCAAATTTAGTTTTACTCATCATCTCTCATTTCTTAGATGTGCAGAGTTGGCAAGAACCGTATCACTGCTACGGTACACTCAGTAACAGGAGATATGCTTTCTTGTGTGTGGGGCGAGCTTGGCTAGCGTTTAGATGTTTGTCGTGCAGCACAAGGGGGACATATTACACATTTATAAATGTGTTTAAAATGTGGATATTTCTCTTTCTATTGGTGTATAAATAATTCATGGTTAGTTCATACTTAAACAATTCCGAATTTTTTAAATTGAGTCCATTATTTAGAATAACCCTGTACTATAAAACTTCGATCCTTGTTTAAAATCGGCGATAGGCCGAACTTTAGCGCCTATGGAACCATACTGTACTAAGACGTAGTACATTAATAAATTTCCTTCGAAAGTAGCGGAAATATTTTATAGTTTTTTTAAGGTTTGCTATTTTTTATATATCTAGTATCAAAACATATTCCCTAATTTTACTAGATAATGAAATATCAATATAGGCTACCAGAAAACCGATTGTTTGCACAGTTTAGGTAAATCATATTTTATCTTCTACCGAAGAAACCCATGACGACGTTCATATTTTCTACGAGAGTCACGTAAAAAAAGATTTTTGATCAGTAACATAAGCAAAACGAAAAATTAATGCCCAAGATATATTGGAACTGAAATAATTCGTTCAATATTTGTTCATATTTGTGTTCATCAGAGAGACAAGCATTTATATCAAATTAACACTCAGTTCATTCTCGGATAGCTTGCCTTCTTGTGTCTGCAATTTCCTTAGCAGACTAGCGGGGTCCAAGCCTGTATTCGGGTTCAATGAGTATTGAGTAGCAAGTCTGTCTTCCAGATCCATGTTAATTGCTTTAGCTTGCCATGAAATTAATTTAAAATCTATATCGGATCACTGAAATTGAAAAGAGATTATGCTCGTTATTTTATCCAGTATTCAGGTGATATATATATCGTTTATTTTTATATGAGCAAAAATATAGAAATAAAATCTGTATTCCATCTGCAAATGCGATTAATATTAGTGCTTTTACTTTAAAAACTTGCTACATTTTGTACGGTGGTGAGTCTGCTGCCTGCAATGTCAGGACGAAAATGTCCTTTAGGCAATTTTGTTGTTGGTGATTGGATATTTTTGACGTCACTCGAATGAGTGACCTGCTAACCTCATACGAATGAATTAACACATTGGTATTCTTAAAACACACACAATGCATTTCAAGAGCTACATCAGGCGTTTCAAGAGATCCATCATACATCTCATCACACACATCGGGCGTGTCATGAGACCTATATGGTATATGATATATGGTATATAGTGGTAATACGTCAAGGCGCTGAGACTAGCATCGCATCGTGGGTTCTATGACAAAGCATTTGTAAAATAGTTAATGGACATAGATTATGATCGATGTAAACGAAAACTTTTAAACCGTTACTCCACACAAACGATGTTTCAAACAAGTTATATAGACAATTGAGGCTCAAATCGAAAATTACCCGGGAATTTAATAACAACAAATTTCCAATATAAATTAGTGACATTTTAATGAAACTTTTCAGAGTCCAGCTCCTTCATTGAAAATTTTCAATCAATTAAGTGTAATATACTTTAATTATTAGCAATAAGTAATTGAGTTGCGAATCAATGTTATCTCTTATCATTAATTATATAATTGATAACAATCGGTGTTTATTCCTACATACATATTTATGCCAAGGAAGCGATGAAAAAATCCTAGATTGGCATCTTCACTAATTTCCCTTTTCATTAGCCAATTGACTCAATAATGTCTTACGTATAGATTTAATCGTAACATTTGATCATACCTAAATTATTTAATTTCTTAATTGATGATGGAGCTGCTTTATAAAGCATTTTCAATTGAAATATGATGAATTTATCGGCATTTTCTCTACTGATAGTCAACCGAATAAGCAATTTCAACATTTCGACGTTCTTGTTTGGTTTAAGTTGCCTTCGTTAGCGTCTAATCTTTCTGGTCATTTTGAGCTCCAGTTTATTATACTGAGATACAGTAGCCTTGCTTCATGCGAATATCTATATACGCTTACTAGGTCACTCCTGCTACTATATACGCTTACTAGGTCACTCCTGTATATCTATATACGCTACTAGGTCACTACGCTTACTAGGTCACTGCACTTATTAGGTCATACGCTTACTAGGTCACTCCATCAGAAGTAAGTCAGAACTCATTCATTATATATAAAAAAGAGATATTTGGACGCTAAACTCATAAACGACGAATCACAACCAAATAAAGTTTACATAATTCTCAGTGAAATTAATCAAATTTAAACCATCAATCTCACACAAATTGTTAAAAATTCGATCATATTACTCACTTTGTAATGATAACGAATTGAATATAGTAAATGTTGAGCATATTATTTATTACAGTGCTATTTAGCTTAGATACTTGGAAAATGTTGATAAACTTTATTTTATAGCACACAATGCTAACTTCAATATTTCAGTACTTCTATCCACATGTACAGAGTTTGTATTCGTAGCTTTGACCTTGCTAGCTTGCTGATGAAATTAAGTTCCACTCCATTACATGATAATATGAAGAAAATAAAGCTAGACAGTTTTCAATAATAAATCATGAGTGCATTTCTTACTACACCAATTTTAGTTGAATATTCGACAATGCATGAAATTTTTACCGAAGATACCCATCACTTTATTACGATTTTCTAACAGTACCTTAGAAAAATTCATCCTTCCATGAGAAACTAAACTAAGATGAAAATAATGTGAGAACCTCGGGTTAGAACGTGATGTTCGTATTGTTTTTTACCATTCATAGGAAGGTTTAATTTTCTGGAATTTATATGTACTAAGCCTGTGGACCGCGCAGTTAAGATTTTCCGCGCAGACGGCGCTGGGAAAATCTCAATCTTTTCACTTAGCGCAGAAAGTTACGCAGAATTTGTGACCTTGCCTGCCGTCGCATCGTTTTGCTGTAACAGTTGCTCTCTGTTTATTATCTGAAGTTATTGGCTAGAGAACTAGCTAGGCGTTTGAACTCTTTTTCTCGCTCGATGAGTTACACGCCAAATCTGGCTATAAATTACCTAAACTTGCAACCGTAAGAGGATCACCGCTGACTTCAAACGCGCGGCGATCCGCTCAGGCACAACATATTAGCATGAATCATATTACAAAATATCAAATTTTCGTAATATTTTAAAAACTTTTTTATTACTTTATTTATTATAAGTGTAGTTTGAGAGAAATATTACTAGAAATAATCCTAGTAGATATTAGTTCAGAAGATAATTAGTGATTAGTACCGATTGTTTTCACCTCACATGGCCATATGATTTCTTGATTTGAAAATTCGATTTTACTTTGTTTAGATAATAAAAACCGTCAAAGGATTCAATGTATGCATTAGAACTCCGCGCGGTCCGCGTAAAAACACGGCTCGTATTTACCAAATTTGCGATGAGACAGGCCTGCAGCGAGACCATCACCTGCGTTATAGAACAACTTCTTCCTAGTTGTACCAATTTATGAACATAGAGCCATATTTTTGGAGAAACAAGGCAGAAAATGTCTTCCTATACAAGCGTTGCATTATGACAAGTATTCCACACTTTCTCGCATTTTAGATCCGTCTCCTAATTTAAGCTATGACTATTTTTTCTTATGTGCTAAGCATAAATTGCCAAAAATTCATGGGTGTCTTCGATAAAAAGTTATGTACAGACAGGTGATCAATTTGCGTTGAGAAAATTAAACAGTAAAATCTAACTTGAGGAATCTAAAGTAAAATAATCCTACTTATAAAGAATCAGATGGACAGGAACCAGGTTTAATATTAGAGCGCAGACAAGCGGAGCCGCGAGCTCGTTTGCGAGTCAGAAGATAAGCATGTCGTTCCCCGAATAATATTCCAACTGGCTTAGTTAGCAATAAAAATTTTTAACATTTTTTTTCCTAATATCATGCTTTAAAATTATCAAGCATAGCAATTAATTATAATTTATCATGCATTTACATTACGCAATTCATTATTCATTGCATTTCACACATTCAATCAGGCAATTGAATATGAAGCAATCATTTCTGTTTTTTTTCGTACTGAATTTTAGTAAACTTACTACCGTCGGAAATAATTCCTTATGGAATGGGTTTGTGGCACAGCAGTTAACTTGCCTATTTTTGACGTTGCTCGAAAGAGTGAGCTTTTGGTGCCAAGTTTTAGTGGTAGATTTACTTTCTAAACAGGTACGCTATGTCATCTTATTTTAGATCATAAAGATCGAACAAACATTATTGAAGAATGATTGTTTGAATAGATAATTTACAAGAAATTTATAGCAAAGAATCTGTCAGTGTAAGTAAGTTCATTAGGTTTTCAATTTAATGTTACAGAGTCTCGCTCCATCTCTCAAAAAATTCATTAATACAAGTAAAGTCAGTCTATACGACTGAATTCACAACAAATGTGTTAAAAAGTAAATGTAATTAATTATTTTCTTTACTAACTTCGCCCTTCATTAACCAATTTAAGTTTTCATCGCTCGTGCAAAGTGAATCGTAATCATGAATAAGGCCAAAATGAATTGCTAACTGACGATGGATTGTTCAAAACCGGTGGAGTCTCCGACAAGTGTTCAATTAAAATATTGTGACTTGAAATTGTCTCTGTACATAACTTCTTCGTCAACGTCGTCAACGAGCAATTTAAACGTCGTTTGATGATAATATTCGTTTGAAACGGCCTTCATGCGAAACTAGATTGCTAAAGCTGACACGCAGCAAGCTTTAACATAACATAACATAGTGATGTCGGCGCTGAAGTGTAGGCCTGATGTGGCCTGTCGCCGATTCTTTTCCTTTTCGTGCCTTGTTCATAGATCTAAACTCGTGTCATTTGACCGGATATTTTCATGACTGACGATAGTTTGAAGTAGCTACTAGACCTGTCTCTTATACACATCTAGATGTGTATAAGAGACAGGTTGTAGAGGATATAATGAGAGGAGCAGTAGTTTAAAGAAAAAGTCCCACATGGGGATCATGGGCAAAAGGGTAATAAAAAATACTGATTATTTTTCGTCGGCGTTCTTATTATTATTTCCAAACTTATGAAGCAAGTATGTGTTATTAGTGCTTCTTCATAATGCTAAATGCACATTCCTTTATTTGTAACCACAAAATTAATCATGGTCAGTGTTTTTTATGTAATAAAATTTTGCATTCTTTCGTGCTTGAATGCCTTTTGGTTGAATTTTTNGTGGGAGAATGCTTAGTACTGTTGACGTGGGAGAATGCTTAGTACTGTTGGCGTGGGAGAATGCTTAGTACTGTTGACGTGGGAGAATGCTTATATAGTACTGTTGTCGCGTCAGAATGCCTTATATAGTTTTTAATTTGAAAAATCTAAGTACCGGTGGAAGGACTTAGTATTTTGGCGCACAAATGTTTTTTTAGCACTACTGTTAATTACAGTGCTGCAACACACACGCGATTGAAGATTGTCACGCGTCCGTAGGTAACAACGGTGCAAATTCTAAACTCGGTAATAAGCAAAGCCTGGCGTCAAGAGATCTGTGTTATGACGTCACCAAGAGATGCCCTATAGAGCGCACGATCTCACTGAACTTCTCACAGACAAGTCCGGGGCTAAATTATTATCATTTTCACGGATAATGAGAGACCGTGAGAGCCATTATAATGAGGATTGAACCCTAGCACTATCCAGCCTGGTCTAATCCAAATTAATTTCTAATTAAAACTCTTCCTACACTTGGCTTCATTTTATATCACATTTCAATATTGACTCGGCAAGGAAAAGAAATTTGTGCAATGGAATAAATGTTTATAACCAGCCAAAAATTCCATTTTGTCGATATTCATTACATCGACGGCTTATTAATATAATATATAGATTTGGTTTCGCATCAAAATACGAGAAAAATAAATACATAATATATTTAAATTTATTTACTTCAATATTATTAAAAAATCATCAAATTTTTGACATAAAAAATGTTGATATTATGAAAAAATACTATTCACAAAGTAAAATCTTGATTGAGCAAATCGCAGATCAAAAATCTTCAGAACTCTACTGACGCTAGAGTAGATAAAAAATTAGATTTCACAAATCTCCACGAAAAGTATCTTCTTTTTGATTATAGCGGGGCAGGTGGGGAAAGTTATGAAAATTATATCGCGTTGTTTCCACGAATATTACATAAATCAGTTTGACTAATATGAAGGTGAATCATGTGACTGATATCATTGTACAGATTTTTTCTAAACCGTATATACGGTGCGGTTTTTGTCCAAGTAAATATGAAAACTACTTAGCAAGTGAGGTCATTTAGAAACGTCATTTTCCCAATTACATATGACAATTGTAAAAGGAGAATTTGTCTATTTGTACCGGTATAAAATTTTATTAGTTATTTTACTTGGTGTTAAAACATATTGCTCTATAAGTTCTTCAAGCGATCTATGTCTTCAAACTGCCTAGTCTTGAACGATTCATTCACAAGTAATGATGCATCTTTCATTCCATATTTAGATTCACACTCCGCGTTAGTTAATCATTAATTAAATAAAAATTAATTAAAAATTAAATAATAATAATAATTAAAAATTAATTATTAATTAAGTTAATTATTAATTAAGTTAATTATTAATTAAGTTAATTTTTCTCACACAAGAATATTCATAGACAGTGAAATGTATATATAATGTCTTCTTGATAGGTTGTTCATGAAAGACGCTAGTTTTTTTGCACATTTTCTCATTTATGGAAAAAATGCCCTATTGTGCTTGTCATGTCCGTCCGTCTGTCCGTCCGTGACTTAACGTTTTCGTCGACGATAAAATGCGCTCCCTGTCACTCACTGCAGTGAGTAGTGAGTTATATTTTTTGCTCTCGCACAAGATCTTTTTGATCTGCAGTCTTTCACCTTTTCGTGCGACTGTTCACCACTGTTACTTGGCTGAATCTGATGCTCTGTACGGTTACATTCTTCACGGCCAGAATGTGTGGTTTGATTCACTGATGAATGTTCATTGAGAATGTGTCGCTGCAGGTCAGGTACTGACTTGCAGGAGCTAAGCTGGTGTCAGATTTGAACGCTGAACAAGAAAGCCTGCGTGGCGAGAGCTGGACGATCCAGGAATGCCTTCTCTGTCACCAGCTTCAGTAATTAAAACACGCTTGATATTCGGCGGAGCGGCGATGTTCCCGCTAGAAGTTTACTGCTACCTGCAAACAGATCCTCAGAATCTATTCTTTGAACTTAACGCCTCTTCTAACTCGACCGTGATGACACGGCCATAGCTTTCTTTCTTATCAATTCAAGTATGATGCCATCCAACTATTCAAAATTTAGTAACATCTAAAATATCCAACCGTGTTTCTATGTGATTTTGAGTGAATATTTATAATGAGCATATTAATAATGGAATCGCCGTTGCTTCTATATTAGGTAGGTACCTACCTGGCGATGAAATTATCTAGTTGCGGAAGTAACAAAACTGTCATCAGCAACCATTCAGAGCGTCGCATTCATACATGAGATTTATACGTACAAATAATTCATCACTATAATAGAGAGCGATGTATCGAATACCGAAAGACAATGAAAGATATTACAAGGTAACCTACTAATCTTGCATTCGCAATGACCTAACCCTGCCAATAAGACCAGAAGTCAGAAGCTACGGCAGCAGCGCGACTCTTACGAAAATACGAACCCAAACGATGGAAGATAAATGAAGATTGGACGAAAAACCTGTTCAGCTTTCTGTCTTCAAGTAATTTATGAATCTTACACTCTGGAAAAACTATGTAAAATGTAATTTTTCTGTTCATAAATTAATCTGAAACGCATTCAATCCACCGACAGCGTCTGTAGTAGCTTGACTGGAAATTCCCTGCCAACGAGAGATAATCAAGGAAAATAAATGCGTACGCTCGAACATATCTTTATTGCAAACCAAATATGTGTATTATGGATACACATTGCAGTTTCATTGAAATTAATATATACTGGAATAAATATAGAATATTAAGAATACTCAGTCAGATCATATAAAGGTATAAAGACAAATAATTTTCTCAAGAAATATTCGTAAATTGTGCAAATTTCAGATCACAAATAGTACGCAATACGCTGACAGCAAGTTGCAGAGCAAGACGCTGACAGCAAGATTTTCGTAGTAAATATATTCTCCTGTATAAAAGGGATTAAAAAGACGTTAAAAGTAATTTGTCAAAAATCTCAATAAAAGTCTCAAAAGGGAATTAATTCATATGTGACATGGGAACTTTGTTCTTGATTTAATTTTCTGCTAAAACATGTTGATCTATAGCGACTTAGACATTCCTAGCCTTAATTAGGCTCTAATGAAAGATGAAAACCCTCGCCAACAGATGAAAGTCAATAAGTGATATATACTGAACAGTAAATTATGTTACTGAGGACGCAGTAACGTGGTTCTAATGATGGATGATCGCTATGAAAACGTTAAAGTTAAAAGAGAATTATTGACAGAAGCACGTTTAAACTTGCGGGCTGGCACGGGGTTCCTCCGCGGGGTGCTTATCAGCAACGTGACGAATTAGACGAAGTTCTGATAGATATGAATTATCGCACTGCGAGCAACGAAAAAAGTATATTTTTTTATGTTTGGAGAGAACATGTTTCTCTAGCCGTTCTTTGACCACACAAGAATAATTGCACTCGGCGCACTGAAGAGGTCTCTCAGATGAATGAATGTAAAGAATGTGCCTTTTCATATTGCTTTTTATGACACAACTGTATTCACACATTGAACACTTGATAGGTTTCTCCACCGAATGTTTATGGAGAACGTGAATCTTCAAGTTTGATTTTAAGGCACAAGAATATTCACATTCCATGCAGCGATGCGGTCTCTCTGCTGAATGCTTACGGAAAACGTGTTGATTTAACCGTTTTTTACCGACACATGAATATTCACACTGCGCGCACTCTAATTTCTCCTTTTTGTAATGTTCAGGAGAAACGTTAGTTTTCAATTCATCCGTTCCCGCGCAAGAACTTCCTGATCTGCGGTTGTCTACCTTTTCTCGCGACTGTTCACCACCGTTACTTGGCTGAATCTGATATTCAGCACTGCTGCATTGCTCACGGCCAAAATGTGATGTTTGATTCACAGATGAATATGAATGCTCATAGAGGCGGCGCCGCTGCAGGTCAAAAGATTCAGTAATATATTCGGTGCGTGGCTTGGGGCTGGACGATCCAGAAACACCATCTCTATCACCAGCTTCATCTGGAGCTCCTTCAGATGTTGATAACTCTCCGCTGCCGTGCTGGTAACAGAGACAAAAATACATTTTTATTAGAAAAAAAGTCTACTATGCATACAACAAAACTTCTACTATACAACAACTCAATAAGCCTTCCAATACTATTAGTTATTGGTCACTGATTGGACTTTGCTTCGAAACTGCATTTTCCTATTTCCAACCGTTTTAGTCGTTATGAACCGTTCATGAATTCTTATTATGATTTAGTAGGAAAAACAAAATTTATTACGTTTATGACATAGATTGGTCCAGGTTCTACGATTGATACATTTAAAAAAGTTAAAATATTCTAGAAAACTTCCGAATTGTTTAATTATCTTTGAGTTTAATTAGCTTGTATATCCACGCACTTTTCACATAAATTTAGTAACTATGAAGTCAATGATAGTATCGTTGAAGGAACGAGCACGGCGCGAAATAAAATCATCGGAATTACTGCCACTGTCGCAGCAGCAGCTTACAGCAACGAGCTGAGAGTATTACAAGTGAAAATTAACCACCACGGCTTCATGCAATATTATGGCCACGACACGGCTACTTTAGGAACAGTACGGCCGTTTTTACGACGTTCGTGATCGATACGGTTATACGTCGTACCATTCTAGGTGATCGCACAACAGATCAGCGTATTAACGTAAAATTCTTCAACGCGAAAAGAGAATAAAAATATTTAATTCCGATGCAATTGGTTCAAGTTTTTGTTTAGGAGAATTAGAAGTGATGAGGTGCTGTAGGCAATGATCAAACATCGAATCTATAGATAGGTACACGTCTCTATGTTTTTTGTAATTGAGTTTATGTTTAATTGAGCTGCGTCTTCATTTATGAAGTTTTATTTACATGTAAGTAGTGCTTAATTTCGATCCCCATATTCTCTAGCCGACGTTGAATATAAAGAAACAGGTATATATAATTACAAAGCCCATGTAAGCAGACAGTAGAGTCAATTTCTAACCGCGTTAAACATTGTATTTTCGATTTTCCGTAAATTAATTTTCTCAATTCAATTGTCTCAATTCAATTATTAATTTGTGTTCGAACTACCTTCTAGTCGAAGTGGAACCACGGACGAATCAGCATAATATACTCCCATTGGTTCGCCTGCCCAAGACCACCACTGCCCTGGATGCATGTAATGGACCATCATGATTCCTGCCTCCCGGAACGTAGCATTCAACACTTCTGAACAATCATATACCGGCCGTGCGTATAACAGCCACCAGCCCCCAGGGGAACGGCCACTCGTCGAAGGAAGATAAATGTTGGAACAGAACTATGCTATCGAAACCTAACCTCAGATGCGGTGAACGTAAAATTACGTAATTAAATGATGCCCGGAAGTCATCCTCGAGCCGCGGTCTGGTGGTTCACGGCCGGTTTTGGTGCATGGCTGCCCTCCCCTCCCATCAATGCAAGAAATTATAAGACAAAATGAAATAATTGACTACTTGAGCGCTCCTCAAGATCTATCGGGAGCCGCGACATTATCAGCAGATTCTTAATTTGGTAGTTTGAATGCACTGTGTTTTTATTCAGTGAATTAATAATATCCGTTTATTCAACCATACAATCATTACGTGGCAACAAAAAAGCGTTTAGTGTTTTAAGTCTTCGTAGTGTGAATCAGAGATAACTGATAAGAGTGACTTCTGCACTAGGTAAGGTGTTCACTGTTTATCCTACTACATCACAGCCAAAACCTGTACGTGGACCTGAGGACATGAAAAAATTTAAGAGTGTCATTATCAGAAGAGATACTAATATGTGGATATGATAGTTAGCGTTCAAAATTAAAACATAATAGATTTCTGTCTATACCATGTGAACTTTTTCATTTACGTCGGCTTCTTCTGAGAATTGTTTTATATCTCATCGACTGGCTTCAAGGAATTCTCACCTGAATTTGTGGGGTCTGGAGATTGAACACAAGCTTTTGTGTCTGAACAATAAATTGAAATCAAAGCGTCGTTTCACATAATTCAGTAGTTTAGTCATAAACGAAAGCATAACAAAGGTAGAGAGTATTGTCATGATCTCAGCCATGCTGCGCTCCTTACTGTCGAATAACCCACATGTTTACTAGCGCTTCAGCTATTTAGCTATTTCGCACCGAAAGTCAAGATGAATATCACCAAAGTGATGGAAGGTCTCAATTATCGAAAGTTTCTCTAATCAAAAATTGTTCATCACCCACAAGGGGCGGAAGGTCTCAATTGTCCAGTCCGCTGAAGCTGGCTCGAAGGAAGCAGCTAAGGTGCCTGTACACAGGGATAGTAGCAGCCGCTAGTTCATCCGCCGCTTTAACTGTCCACGCTATACTAGCCTCGTGTATAGGGGATTCAGCCGCTTCAGAGGCATGCGCCGGCAAGTGCCCGAGACGCGGCCGCGAGAGGGACAACGATGTGTTGATTTCTTCGCTGGAGAAGTGGCTAGTAACGCTGATTAAGCCACGGTGAGAGCATCTGTGCCGCTCTTGTGAAGTATCTTGGGTCAAGTGAATTCTGGCTTGTTTGAACGGTGATGGTTCTAAGAAGAACCAAACAAAGCGGATTCCGGACGATATTCACTTATTCTTTGAAATTTTCTGAAAATATGAATTAAAGTGCAATGTTTGCTATAATGCGAGAGAGAAACGAGCATTTTTAAACTGAAAGAAGACCTTATTATTCAGGGTTTAGTTGTTCCCGACGTAACATTTTTAAGGGCTAGAATAAAGAGTATAAAAACGACGTACAGACTCGAGTTGTTGAAGGTCCTCACTCGACGGCTTTTAACGACGCACTGACGGGCGCGAAATGCCGCGAACGAGAAGATAGCGGCCCCTTACTCTCCTCGTGTACAGGCTTCCTTGCTGGATAGTCACCAAGCGACCGACACTTGCCAGATTTACTAGCCGTCTTCACTATCCCCGTGTACAAGCACCTTAGCATCTCAGAGAGACGAAGTGACAAGGAGAGACAGGTGAAAAGCAACAGAAACGAAAACACTCGAACATGAAGTCGCTTACACGTGGCGTCGGCCGCCCGCACGAGAGCGACAGAGAAGGGAAATGTAAGGAATCCTACCTACATAATAACTTAATGTAAGGAATCCTACCTACATAATAACTTAACCCCACAACTGAGACCTGCAGTCAGACACCGCGAGCTTAGCGGTGGGGCGCTCAGGAACAATCCCCCTTATAGGAGCGCGAAATCCCAGGACTTCTGACGATCGTGTTACTTTTCGAATGATTCCTTATTGAAATACTTTGCTCACCTCCAGCTCTTGTATGGCAGCTTCAGCAATCCCTCGAGGGGTGCTCGGCTCATCGCACCAGGCCGTCAGAAATGGGGCATCAGATTTGTCTTCCATCAGATTCTGCCTTACTGCGCAATCGTTGACAGGACGTGATATGATTTTATTTTCTACTCTGATCTAGCATAAATGAAATTATATTGATTATTTCAAAGTCAAGTGTTACCCCAAACAGTGCATGAAAAAAATAAACTCGTTGCTTAGACTTAGAATGAACTTAAAAAATATCATCGAGCTCGTTTGCATAGTCGTAGTCGAAAAGTTCAGATTTATTGCCAGAATTTGCGAAGCCCAAATAAACAGTTCTATACGACGACCAATGAAGGCTTTAAGATAACAGAAAGTAATGTTTTGGGTATTATTTTCATTTGTACATCTCTGAGCCTGAGATATATACTAATGCAGCTACACCATTCATGTCTACGGCAACTTTTTGTTCTATAGCAGCAGTTTTGCACACCCGGACTATTTAAACATTTTTGAAAGCTAAATAATTTATTTAACTTTTATTCAGGCTTGAGGGTTCGTCTAGTCTGCATTTTTTTTATTTTGTAATTCTCACTAAATTTGTTGAATGGACCGAAGTAGTCAAAATTTGGGCGACCTCAGCGGAATATTGAAGCTGTTCAGACGATACCACGATTCCAGATGCGTCGCGTAGCATCCAGCTTCAAATTTTACTCAACCACGCAAGATGTTCATGCAAAGCTCGAAACTTCATCTGCTCTGCAGCCACACTTTGCCTGGCTAGCAATTCCACCATTTATTATTTTGGAAGCCGAGGCATGGTCAGTTACACCAACGGAATTATTTTGTTAAGGGGCGTATTTTAGACCACATTGGGAAGTCGAACGCTTCGTAAACAAAGAATGAAATACCAGAAGACTTATTGTGGATCACATCAATGATTTTTCACAAGCTCAGCCCAAACCTTCTATGCAGCCGACGATAGTGACGTGGGGATGACGTAATATGTTCCACTCGCGACACCAACGATGGCAAACGCGGCTATGGCTACAGTACTAATCTTTTTCTACACGTTAGGAGACCAATTATTAATTATAATTACTAATCGACATTTAGTTACAACTTTCCACGAATTTTTCACGCGAATTTAAAATGTACTTATGTTTCACGATTTTTCTTCGAATCAAAAAGTTGATCGTCTTAAAGTCTATACTCTACAGGCACAGATTACCTAATTTCGAAATTGTTACATAACAGTGTAAATGAAGTAATCAAACACTTCAACACACAAAACTTCAACAAGAACAAATTGCATAGCTCTTCCGGTGTGCCTGGTCATCTGATTCTTCATCGTCGTTGCCGAGTTGATTAAGTTAATAAATTCCGCTCGGTGTCTGATCGTTAATGTATTGCTAGCTGCTTTTTGGTCTAGGTTTCGTATGTTGAATGCGAAATTATTTTTTTATCAATTCATTGAGATAATGTCATAATTTCACATAATTATTTTTCGAATTTAGGTAATGATTTCGCGCGTAAAACTAACATGACCAGAAATATTCAATCACACAAATAATCTTTTCCGGGGAAGTTGACGCATGTTCTAGTTAATCTAGTATATCAAGTTTTATGTTATTTGGGGGGTGGTGACTTCAAATTTAGTATTACTCATCATCTCTCATTTCTTAGATGTGCACAGTTGGCAAGAACCGTATCACTGCTACGGTACACTCAGTAACAGAAGATATGCTTTCTTGTGTGTGGGGCGAGCTTGGCTAGCGTTTAGATGTTTGCCGTGCAGCACAAGGGGGACATATTCAATATTTATGAATATGTTTAAAATGTGGATATTTCTCTTTCTATTGGTGTATAAATAATTCATGGTTAATTCATACTTAAACAATTCCGAATTTTTTAAATTGAGTCCATTATTTAGAATAACCCTGTACTATAAAACTTCGATCCTTGTGTAAAATCGGTGATAGGCTGAACTTTAGCGCCTATGGAACTCTATACTGTACTAAGACGCAGTACATTAATAAATTTCCTGCGAAAGTAGCGGAAATATTTTATAGTTTTTTTTAAGGTTTGCTATTTTTTATATATATAGTATCAAAACATATTCCGTAATTTTACTAGGTAATGAAATATCAATATACCAGAAAACCGATTGTTTGCACAGTTAGAGTGCATCATATTTTATTTTCTACCTAAGGCACCCATGACGACGTTCATATTTTCTACGAGAGTCACGTAGAAAAAGATTTTTTATCAGTAACATCAGCAAAACGAAAAATCAATGCCCAAGATATATTGGAACTGAAATAATTCGTTCAATATTTGTTCATATTTGTGTTCATCAGAAAGACAAGCCTTTATATCAAATTACCGCTCAGTTCATTCTCGGCCTTCTTGTGTCTGCAATTTCCTGAGCAGACCAGCGGGGCTCCAAGCCTGTATTCGGGTTCAATGAGTATTGAGTAGCAAGTCTGTCTTCCAGATCCATGTTAATTGCTGTAGCTTGCCATAGAATTAATTTAAAATCTATATCGGATCACTGAAATTTAAAAGAGATTATGCTCGTTATTTTATCCAATATTCAGGTGATATATATATCGCTTATTTCGAAGTGAGCAAAAGTATAGAAATAAAATCTGTATTCCATCTGCAAATGCGATTAATTAGTGCTTTTACTTTAAAAACTTACTACATTTTGTACGGTGGTGAGTCTGCTGCCTACAATGTCAGGACGAAAATGTCCTTTAGGCAATTTTGTTTATGGTGATTGGATAATTTTGACGTCACTCGCATGAGTGACCTGCTAATCTCATACGAATGAATTAACACATTGGGTGTCTTAAAACACACACAATGCATTTCAAGAGCTACATCAGGCGTTTCAAGAGATCCATCATACATCTCATCACACACATCGGGCCTGTCATGAGACCTATATGGTATATAGTGGTAATACGTCTAGGCCCTGAGACTAGCATCGTGGGTGCTATGACAAAGCATTTATAAACTAGTTAATGGACATGGATTATGATCGATGTAAACGAAAACTATTGAACCATTACTCCACACAAACGAAGTTTCAAACAAGTATTATAGACAATTGAGGCTCAAATCGAAAATTACCTGGGAATTTAATAACAACAAATTTCCAATATAAATTTGTGACATTTTTAATGAAACTTTTCAGAGTTCAGCTCCATCTTCATTGAAATTTTCAGCCAATTAAGTGTAATATACCTGAACTATTAGCAAAAAATAATTGAGTTGCGAATCAATGTTATCTCTTATCATTAATTACATAGTTGATAACAATCGTTATTTATTCTTATATACCTCAATATTTCTACTAAGAAATCAATAAAAAAAATATCCTATATTGGTGTCTTCTCTAACTTCTCGTTTCATTAGTCAAATGACCCAATAATAATTATGTGAAGATTTAATCGTTACATTTGCTCATACCCAACTTACTTAATTTTTTAATTGATGATGGAGCTGAGTTCTAAAAAATTTTCAATTAAAATATAATGAATTTATCGGCATTTTCTCTACTGGCCTAAACTCGATATTTCTCTCTAGCTACGGCCGAATGTAAGGTCACTCTTAGGAGTGACGTTGAAAATAAGAAACAAGAAGTGACAAGAATATTTAAGGGACATATTTCGTCCAATGCTGGAGACGCGAAATCACGCACGGACAAAGTTTAAATAGTTTTCCATGGTCGTCATCAAATTAATACTCTCCTCATCCAGAAAACAGATAAACGGTTTAAAATACTATTTCTCCCATAATTTTTAATAATTTCTCTCGATAATTTTTCACTCATCAGTCGTCCCTGACAGAGTGTGTTTTACCTCTAGAAATCGTGTAGAATATTATTTTTATAAATGTACTGCGAAAGTGGCGGAAATATTTTCTTTGTTTTTTCACTCTTCGGCGAAAAGCAATATAAATTTTTCTGACTGCTGTTTTCTTGGTAACTCTAGTTTCGAAACATATTTCGTAATTTTATAATATAATCATTTTTCAATCTACCATAAAACCGATTATTTTGCACAGTTTAGCACTCCGTCATGTTTAATCTTTTACCGAAGATACCCATCATCGCGATAATATTTTCTACGGTAGTCACGTAAAAAAAGTTATTGAACAGAAACATAAGTAAAACAGAAAATTTGTACTCGAACATATTATAATTGAAATAATTCGTTTTCATCAGAAAGACAAGCATTTATATCAAATTAACACTCAGCTCATTCTCGGATAGCTTGCCTTCTTGTGTTTGTGATTTCCTGAGCAGACCAGCGGGGCTCAAAGCCTGTATTCGGGTTCGCTGAGTGGTAGGCTTCTTCGATGAACAATCCGATTGCTTCAGCTTGCCATAAAATAAATGTACAAGCTACGTCGAATCATTGAAGTTAAAGGTGGATTATGCCATCAGTTTATTCAAAATTCCGATTATTTCTTCATCACCAATTTTGATGCGGATGAAATTTTTGAGTGCTTATACATGATTCATCTTTTAATGCAATTAGTCGATGATTTTACATTAAAAACTTAGTATACTTTTTACGGGCGTGAGAAGCCGTTTCAAAATTTAGTAGTTTTCGCAGCTATCTTTCGCATTAATGCAAATTTTTGACGTCACTCGCATGATTGACCTACTAAACTGATACGAAAGATTAAACTAGATTAAAAATTTAGGCAGAAGACTGAGACTAGCATCGTTACATGTATGAGAAAGCATTAGAAAACTTGTATTCTATACAAATGAAGTTTCAAACAAGTCATATGGATACATGAGGCTCAAAAATCTACCAAGGTATTTGATTAAAAAAACTCAATATAAATTCATGATATTTTTAATGAAACGTTTCATAGTCCAGCTCCATTTTCATTTAAAAATTTTAATCAATCAAATGTAACATACTTGTATTATTAGCAAATATTAATTGAGTAGTGAATCAAGTTCTTTTATCATTAATCATATCATAGATCACAATAGATATTTATTCCGATATACCTCGGTTTTATGCCCAGTATAGTATATAGCAAGTAACCAGAAAGTGATAAAATAAGTCCCAGATTAGTTTCCTCACTAATTCATTAGCTAATTAGTTTCTTCACTAATTCATTAGCTAATTTGCTCAATAATCTCTTTATTTAACTTAATCATAATAATTTATTCGCAATAGTTTTTTATTTGATGCTGGAGCTGATATCCAAAGCATTTTCAATCAAAATATGGTGAGTTTACTCGGCATTTTCTCTACTGTTAACCTCTCAAATAAGAATATAAACATCGTTCGACGTTAATATTTGTTTGAATCTGCCTTCGTTTACTTCCTATCTTTCCAGTAATTTTGTGCTCCAGCTATTATACATTGATATCTAAGACTTGCTTCATGCGAGTATCTATTCCTTTTTAATATCTCACTCCATCAAGGGACACCAAGTTTAAAGTAGAACTTAATCATCAAATATTGTACAGCCAACATTTTCTTAAAACCACCTAGCGAGGTGAACCACAGCCAGCAAAATTTTACATAGTTTTCAGAGGAAGTAATCAAGTTTGGGCCATTTGTTTCCCAGAAACGAATAAACAGTTGAACCTATCGTTCCTTCCGTAGTGAAAACACATTTGACACTATAAATTTTGTACAAATTCCTTTGTACCATGCTATTTGTTTCTGAAATTTGTAGGATATTGATTAATTATATTTTATAGCAAACTATTTCAACCTCAAAATTCCAGAAGTTATATCCGCAGCTTCGGATCTGTATACGTAGCTGTGGCATTGCTAGGTTGCTCATAAAATTAGGCTCCGCTCCATCTGATGATATTCGAAGAGAATAAAACTTGAAAATTTTACATGTGAAACCACGAGTGAATTTCTTGCTACTCGTACATAAATGAACATTCGACACAAACTGATTCGACAATCAGTTTTTACCAAAGATATCCATCACTTTCTTGCAATTTTCTAGTAGTGCGTTAAAAAACATAGTCATTGCATTGATGAACTAAGCTAAACTGCAAAGAATGGGGGAATCTCGGGTTAGAAATATGAATCATGGTTGAACAAGAATCAACAAGGATATTAATTCAGCCATAAGCAACAAAAATTGCTATAGGACATATTCCGTCCTTCGATAGCGAAGCTGAATCACTAAAACTTAAATATTACATAATTTGTAGTAAATGATATCAATTGAATAATTTTTAGTATCCATAGAACAAAGAAATTGTTGAAAATATAGTAAAC